TGGTTTTTAACCCAAATAGTTTACAAGATGAAGAAAGTCTGTTAAACATTTAAACAAAGTTTTGTTTTGATGTCTAAATCAAGCTTTTACAAAGTTTCAGATTTGACAAAATTTTTCAAGGCAAATTCGAGTTATTAAGCGTATGTGATTTGCATAACTCCAGAATAAAATCCGTGGTAAATAATCCAAGTGGATCCTAGTAATGTAAAAATATTAAAACTGATCCACAGAAGAGAGCCCAATGTATTTATTACAGAGCATATATGAATTACATGTAGATAAAATTCAGTACCTAATATGATATATGTCCATTTCACCCAGAACGGGCTTGTCAACAGCATATATGTATACGAATTTAGTATTTGGGGAAAAGTACTTTAGTCAGTGAGGTAAGTGCTATACTTGATACACGTTGGGGCGATCATGTCTCTTTCGATTCATGACTTACTAGGCAGAAGATTTTCCAGCTGTAAGTTGCTGTTTTTTTCTACATTACACTGGTTGCCATAGGAACCATTCTGTCCTGCTATTCAATCCATAGTTGACAGGAGAAGTGATGGGTTCATACCTTTTTCAAAAGTAATTGTGCGTAACTGAATGTAACGAACCCGACTGGAATTCGAACTCAGCTCTATAATTTCTCATTCTGTACCGATTAACCTTTACAACACAACGCACATCAATTTTAAGAAATATGACCTAATGCTAAAAGAAGAATTTTTTTGAAAGGGCTCCATGGTTATGCTGAAAACTTTTTTTTATCCCCTCTTACAATATCTGTAAAACATAAATACGTAAAGATTTGCAGCACGTTGAAGAAAATATGAACAATCCTATGCTTTTGAAAAACCTTTTTCAAATAGATAAAATTTTGTATCAGTCAATATCCCATTGTCTTTTAGTGGCAATAATTGCCTTGCTTAGGGTAAATCGATTAAAAACAAAACATACCTTGCCTCAAAAACTGTTCAATAATTGCAAAATTTTGAGGTTATTTTTTACAAATTTCTTTGACTTAAGCATTTTATTATAAAAATCCGCAGTTGTTTCCATTTCAGGAAAGAAACATTTATTTCGCCATCTTCACGCTTTTCAAAATTCAAACTTTCAAATTGTGCAAGTCAATTCCTTCTTTATTCTATTGAAACAAATTCTGAAAATTTAAAGGACAGAGTGTGTAGGCAGAAAGGAAGTCTTGAAAAGGCAGGTGAATTTCCTTGGACACATAATGAGAAAGGATAGATTGGAAAACTTAACCCTCACAGAGCATATTGATGGCAATTTATGCCTAACAACCGCTTTTGCTTACTGTAATAATAAGGAACCTATCGCATTCTATCCATTTCAATACTAACCACCCTGTATAAAAAGGTACTTTAATTACTAACGAATCAGTTTAACTGAATAAAGCTTCTTAAGTTGATATTCGTCGTTGTTTATTCATTACACTTACAGAGGGATGGCTGACAGAACTTAATATAAATAGATTCCAACACCAAATAAAATTCTGAGTTAGCCTTTCTTAGTACCCAATAAAAAGTTTTTATTTATAAAACCGGAAAAATTGACGGTTTAATAAATTTTTAGCTTGTCTACTAACGAAAATAAATCTAGAAGCGATTCTCTTTTAAATGTTTCCCGACTTGGTTACCCTGTTAAACTAGAGGATATGGATTCTCACTAAGTGATTTAAGGTGACGACCATCAGATAGCTAAAATAATTTTAAGCTTATTAATAGCTCGAGAAGCGGCGAAGAAACATGGCAATGTCGAAGTTGTTCGTTCGGGGTTGTCTGCTTTATAATTTTAACGTGGGTTTGTCCACAGCCAAATCGAGTTGCTGAATAATTCAAGCCTTTTGGGATAATTCTGTGATTGAACACACCGCCAGACATTGGTTTCAGAAGTTCAGGTCGGGATATCTGTCCCTTTGTGGTGAACCCCGCAGTAATTGGCCACAAGTCCTGGATGATGAGGCACTGAAGGCGGCAACAGAAGAGGACAACAGTCAAATCTTAGGTGAGCTTGCCGAACTTTTCCGTGTTTCTGATCTCACCTGTACTGCATAGGTATACAAAATGAGCAAGTAGGCACCACACTCACTGTCGGAAGACAATAAGAAACAACGAAATACATCCTGCTTCTCTTTGCTTTTACGGTATCACAACGTGCCCGTATTTGATTGAGTTCTCATCAGTGACGAAAAGGGGTTCTGTATGACACTTTCAAGTGGGCCAGACAAGGGTTGTTACTACAGGACACTGTGCTTTACACCACAAGATCGCCTGGTCACCAAGCAAGATCATGATATGTATCTGGTGAAAGAGTCGACAAATTGTGTACTATGAGCTACTACAAACAGGCCAAGTTAAAACTTCGGACCTTTACACGTGGCATTTGGAACGTGTGAAACAGAAGGAGCCAGCATTGCAAATCGTAAGGTTGAACTCTCCCCGCATGACAATACCAGGCTTCACGTGGCGCGGGAGGTCAGGGATAACATACAGCGACTTGACTGGTATACACTGTGAAATCCACCATATTCGCCGGACCTTGCGCCAACAGATTACCACCTCTTCGATTCCCTGGACAACTACCTTCGTAGGAAATTCTTTTCACATGAAGCAGAATGTAACAGGCACTCACAGACTCCTTTACGTCTAAGGCACCTGATTTCTACCACAAGGTCATTGTGCAGCAGGAGGCACGTTGGTAAAAGTTTCGGGAGGTCGATGGGGAATACTTTGAGGACTAACGGTATGCCAAATTTCCTGTATACGTTTTGTGTTTGAATAAATAAAAAACGGCAAGGAATTTAGGGGCTACTTGAAGAATCCTCAACAGAATATAGAAAGCACTAGACGGCCATTTCGTCCTATTTGATCCGTCCTGAGTATGACGATAAACTACATCCGCGTCCTAGTTAAGACGATAAACTACATCCGACACCAGGGACTTTGATCGGAAGGTTTTGAGGAGTATGGAATCTCCTCTTAATTTCTGCTGTTCCCGGGGTTGTAGCACCTGTTAGGGTCCCAGCTATGGGCAAATAGTTAACCCCCGAACTGGGGTCAAAACACTATGAAAGTGTAAAAATAGGTTTTAATACTAGAAATACGTTGTAAAAAATCATTGCCAGCAATAAATGTATGAAGAAAAAAATTATTACCAGCAATATATTATTACCAGCAATATATTTTTGAAAAAAGAATTACCAGCTATACATTTTGAAAAAAATATTACCAGCGATACATTTTCGAAGAAAAATATTACCAGAAATAGATTTTTTGAAGGAAAAAATATTACTAGCAATACATTTTTGAAAAAAAATATTACCATCAATACATATTTTGTCGACATTAAATAACCCATTATGGTTGATATGGCGTAAAACAAAACCCATTTGGGAATCATCAGCAGTGCGCGTCCTCAACCGAGAATCGAACCTGGCCCGTTACGAGACAACGCAAGCGTCAGACCACTGGACCAACGGGTTTCGGTAACGAAGAAGAAACTGACTAGACTTGATATAGCGCCGCTATTCACTAAATTGCGTGGTGATATTCATCTAAGTACACGAAACCCGACAGATTGTGCCCCAAGAGCCACTTCTTCTTTCCCCAAGCCGCTCACTCCAGAGCATTAGGATCTGAATTCTTCTTTGTCAAGAAGGTTCGTTGGTCCAGTGATATGATGCTTGCGTTGTATTGTAATGGTCCGGGTTCGATTCTCGGTATTGGATGCGCACGACTGATGAGTCCCAAATGGGACGAAACGGCCATCCAGTGCTTTTCTGCATTCTGTTGAGGATTCTTCCCGAATCGATGAATTACTATAAATGATGATTCAAATCTCTCTCCTTTTGAGCTTTCCTCAATATTCACTATACGCAGTATTTTCTCTCACTTTCACTCTCTGTAACCCCCTTGCATACGAGTGGCATTCCTGCATTTGGAGTGAAATGATTAAAAAAACATATAGAGAAGATATTTAACACCTACATGACGTCTTGAACGCAAGAGAAGTGTTGTAGCATACCTACGGACGATAAAGTAGTAAATACTGTATGTTGGTCTGCAGATTCGTCTCCAGCTGTGCTGGTCAAACTCTCTGCTTCCGGGCAGACAGGATCCCCCAGACGAGGCTATGTTGAAGGGCAGAGTCTCATCTCGGGAAACAGCTACCCGACCCCTTTTAATACGGGGTCTACGAGTATATTTTGGCCGAGCCTACGGATATTCCACATTAAATTCGGCCTTGTGCCACATCTGACCATGTGGGGTGGTTAGTTGATATCCTTCAGTTGGTGATTCATTGTGCAATTCACTTGACTCACTTCTAGCAGTTGACAACTTCTACGCGCCGCTGATGAATCTTATATGTGCTGTTCTTGTCCTAAGTATTATCGTTCATTACCAAACTTCGTGTGAGTATTCTATTCAATAACCTTCCCTAGGTTACAACAAAAAGTTGGTCTGGGTGGGGGAACAGAGAATAACCTCTGTAACAAATGAAAGGCAAAATAAGCTTAAAATAATGGTAAAGATTCATTGGTTACTAAACAGAGAAGAATGTTCGTAAGAATAGCTCTTTGAAAATCAGCATTCCGGATCATGGCATATACCTAGGCTTGAACACGGCAAACCGGTAGCAGGTAGGTAACGATCAAACTCACCAACCGGGTTATTACGTCGATCCTTTACTAAGTTAACTACTGGCTAAGGAATTGACTGCTTTAATAAATTAGTCGTTCTACTCCAGCCTAAATAGTGTGGATAGAAGAGAAGGGTTGATGAAAATCATGTCAAAATGCAGGGCTTCTAGATATCGACACCGGGTGATCATTTTTCAGGATTCTATTTCGTGCCTCCAGTGTCCGCCCGAAGTTACTGCACCGGACCAGAACTGAAAGAAGCCACACAGTGACAAAAGTAATTAACAGAGCCGTGGGGACAGGTACGGATCCGAAAAACAGTTTCCTGTTTCTCAAACTTATAGAA